CGGAGGCACTAGCCGACATGAAGTGAAAGCGCGAAGTCCACACACTATCCGCTATTTTCGTCCCTAGCCGCGAGTCTGGGAGATCTAGCCATACGACCGTGCTTTAGCCCGGGCCCTTTCGGCCCCTGCCAGCTCCCTTAGCCGAGCCGGACGGGGGCCGGCAGCTATTGCACGTATGGCCTCTATCCCCATGCGTATCCAGGCAGTACCACATCCTTTTGTTGCACTGCTCTAGCCGACAGTGATCACAGACCACTATACATCTGAAGATAGCCCCGGCAGGCTCCCACCGGCCTACCCCAGGGGTAGCCCCTTGGGGCCTGCACAGTATCCATCCCTGTTCCGGGATCGCCTCCGTTAGCTCTTTTGCATAGCCGGACCGGGCGCTAACCGCGATGAAGTCCTCATCCTCTAGCTTGTATATCCAGTTGGGGTCGTGTATCGCCCCCTTGCCGCTGACATCGCGGCCTCTATCCGACAACTGCGATAGCCTTCTATCCTGGCGACCGCCCTTTTCGTAGCTCCCCAGGGGCCACTGGGCCCTAGCAATGTATAGCCAGGTCTGATCGATCATGCCGCTATCCGGGCCGAGTGGTCGCCCCTTGGCTTGACTAGCCACTGGCGGGGGCGCCATTATCCGGTGCACTTCGCGAAGTAGCCGTTCGGTGGGCCTATCCAGGTTGATGTTCACCGCCGCTCCCTGCTGGAGCGCGGGCCTCTCCGGAGCTATCCGGCCGTCTCCGGCCATAGCCTCCCACTGGGCTTCGTTGTATCGGCCCGCTCCTAGCCTTCTGTCCAGCGGCGGGTGGCTGCTATCCGGGTGGATGTAGCCACGGTCGCTATCCCCACCGCGTCTAGCCCCGGGCCCGGATTGACGACCTGGGCCGGGTCTAGCCCAGCGGAGAACGGCAGGGTGGTAGCCGTTTCTTCTTTATCCGCTGCACTTCCCTGCCGCAGCTTGTTCTTAGCCTTGGACTCTTGGACCGTCGGCGGGTCCCTAGCCGGCTTCTTGGGCCTCGCCGCTGTGCTATCCCCTGTGCTGGCCTCCTCTGCCCCAGGACGGGGCTCCTCTTGCCTAGCAACAGGGGCAGCCGTGCCGCGGACCTCCGCCTCTAGCTCCTTGAGCTTAGCCATCATCTCGTGTAGCATGTCTAGCCGTTCGGGTGGCGGCCCGGCGCTAGACCAGCTAGCCTCCGGGGCCTCTCCCTGCCACGGTGTAGCCTCCAGCTCGTTATCCGTGACGCTATCCTCCTCCAGGGTCTCCCCTGGTCGGTGTGGTCGTAGCCCGGCCAGCTGCCGATTCTTCTCTATCCTCTGCTCAAGGTATCTAGCCTCGGTGGTGGACAGGCTAGCCTCGAGCTCCGCAGAGATATCGTCCCAAGACTTAGCCCCTTGGAACTTGAGTAGCCTGGCAGATAGCCGGCCGCCAGGCTGTATGCTGGCGCCCTCCTGGCACTCGGCTAGCCTCATGTCTCTAGCCTTTCGCACTAGCTGGAGAAGCTCGTGCTGCTTATCCAGACTTAGCCGATCGTAGATCTGCTCGGCCAAGCTAGCCGGGTCAGTCTCTAGCCAGTCCTCCAAGAGGCGTAGCACTTCTATCCGTTGCGCCTGGACGCTAGCCGACTCAGTCTGGTCTGCCCAGCTGGGGGCAGTAGCCATGGGCCGCTATCCGGCCACGAGGGCACGCAGGCTCGCCCACCTAGCGTGGGCTCTCCAGAAAAGCTGGTGGTCCGTTACTCCACCCTAGCCACAGTAGCCGCAGCAAGTGCATTTGTGCCATGCCCTAGCCCACAAGTGCTCACTCAGCCGGACATGTGCGCATGCAGCCTAGCCTGCCTAAGAACCTCGCAGCCTACGTCCTAGCCAGCAGACAAGACAGCAAGTGCAACAACGTGATTCTCTCCTCTCTCTCTCCTCTCTCCCCTTCTTTCTCCCCCTGGGCCCGCCGCCCCCGGAGAGATGGGAAGGAAAGAGTATATCCCGAGAGGCCCCCCCGGACGTATCCCCCCGTTGTCCAGCCCCGCTGCTTTCCCGGCGTTTCTATCCCTTCAGGCAAAAGGCGGTCCCCAGCCGAACGGAATAGCCGGCAACGGTGCTATCGGCAACTGGCGTACTATCCCCGGAGGTGCTCCCTGCAGCTCTGCTGCTGGGACCTCTCCGAAATCTTCTTCCTCTCCCTGCTCCGGCTTCTGGTCGCCGGTGCTAGCCTGAGAGGTGTCGCTATCACCAGACGGGGGCTCTTCGCCTCGGCCTTTCGGCCAGCATAGCCTACAGACATGCGTGTACTGGTTGGGTTCGGGCCTGGGAGTTCTTAAATATCCTACGGCGGCCCATCCAGCACCCGGCCTGGCCCCCCTTGTGTAGCCTGTACTTCTTCCCTGGAAGCTCAACTATGATATAGCTCGTGCACCTAGCCTTCTTAAGGAGCTGCCTCGGCCGGTTCCGGTTGGGTTCCGGCCCCAGCTCCGGCTCACTAGCCGAGGAGTCTGGTCTATCTTCGGGAGGATCGCTCGCCACGACTTCTTCAGGTATCCCCGGGCCAGCCACCATCTCCACGATGCGCTCGCTAGCCCACTCTCGTCGCAGCTCTCCAGACAGCTTCTCAGCTTCCTGCTCGCTAGCCTTGCCGGTCCGGAAAAGCCAGCCTCCAAGGTCGCCAGCAATCTCCCTCTCATCTAGCTGCTCTTCCCGGTCCCGAGCTCTAGCCGCCTCTGCGTAGATAGCCTGGAGTCGGGCGACCCTTCCGCCATAGGAGCGGGTGTAGGTATCCGAGCCCTCGGGCTTCCAGCGTCCTAGCATATCTCTATCTGCCGGCGGGATCGGCTTTAGGCTCAGCCCGGTGGGTAGCACTGCTCTCTCACTGTGTTCCGACCAGTAGCCTCGGGCCACCGTCGGGATCCCCACCATAGCCAGTAGCCCCGCTGTAGCCACCATTGCATCTGCGTAGGTAGCCATCTTCTTCTCCAGGGCGCCTCTCTCGCCCAGCCTGGGCATGAGATAATCCCGCTGGTAGCCCGCGTGGTTCTTTAGCAGGTTCCAGTAGCCAGCCAGGGTCCTCGAAGTAGGCTCTCTCCGAGATGCATACAGGTAGCTCCCGTATGCGTCTGTTAGCCCCGGTGGTTTTCGTCCGTCGCAGGATGGTGGATAGCCGACCTTCCACCATAGCCAGTTCATTTGGAACCATAGCCTGGAGGTCCGACCATCGCAAGCTGCCCCAAACCTTTAGGAGCTTGGCCCAGGCCCAAGCTCTCCAGCCGACGGCCACAGTTGTATCCAGGACCAGGCGCTCCCACCTAGCCAGGATAGCCGCAGGATATCGGGGGGCTCGCCTCGTCCAGGGCGCCTTCCAGGATAGCCTCTCGACGACCGTATCCTTGATCGCCCACGCTATCCTGCCTGAGGTAGCTCTCGACTCGGTCGCCCATTCCGCGACCCTCTCTATCCAGCTGATGGCCTTGAGGATCGCCTCGGGGACCGTTCGCCCGCAGGGCTCGTCGCCCCTAGCCATGATGTAGTCGGCCAGGTCGGCCGGTAGCCCAGGGGGGCGTCCACTCTTAGCCTCCCGTAGCCATAGCCGCCATCTCACGTGTATCGAGACGTAGCGCTTGAGAGTGCTAGCCCGGGTTTTCCCCGCTAGCGCCAACACTGCTCTATCCGGGTCCAGGCACCCCTGTAGCTTCTTCAGCACCGGCGCCTCGCACAATTCTAGCTCTTCCTTGAGCTTAATAGCCCAGGTTGCTTGTAGCCTCTCTTCCCTAGCCTGCGCCAGGGAGCCCTCGTTGACCAAGCGCTTCTGCCTATCCCCTTTCGGGGGCTCCGGCTCGCTATCCTCCTGAAGGTCGATGCCTTCGATCGCCGGCCGCTTGCTGAGGTTAACCCACGCTAGCGAAGTCGCCCTGTATCCCGACGTTCTCTCCACCAGGTCCCGAGCTTCCCGGGCCTCTTGTATCCACAGGTAGATCGAGTCGCCGATGTACTCATCATAGCCAACGCCCAGCTCCTCGGCCACTTGGTGCCCAATATCTTCCGCGTCCTCTAGGCCGAGGGTAGCCAGCTCGAGCACACCGAAGCCCCGCGACGCCAGAAGCTCATGGCATCTATCCAGCACCGCACGCTTCTGCACAAGAGCGCTATCCAGCAAGGACGGAAGTCCGAAGGGGCTCCCTATCCCTCCGGAGGGGGTAGCCGGTCCAACGCCCTGCTCTTCCGGCACAGCCGTGGGCAAGACGGTTGGACTCCCTGGCTCCTCTCCTCCAGGACTAGCCGGAATCACCGTAGTAGCTGGAGACTGTGGGCTAGCCGTCTGCGAAGCAGAAGGGGAGCGCGGGGAGGCCATTCTCGCTTGGCTGAATAGCCAAGTTCCCCTTCTATCCCCCACTACTTCAAAATTACCCCCCCTGATGGGGGACTTTATCCAGAATGGCCACGGTCACACACCGTCGTAGCCATTCCAAGCCACAGCTGTCCTGTCTTCGCATGTCAGAGGCAACTCTCCTGCGAGCGACGATAGCGAACGAAACTTCGTTTCTAGCGAAGCTACCTTCGATAGCTTCGAGTAGTAATAGGTAAGCTAGCACACATAGTCGTAACTCGTTCCTCGTCACGAGGTACGTAACTGTACATGAGGGAAAATTGAACTATCTGTTAGAACAGCAGCAGCATTGAATTCCGACAAATCATCCACCGAAACATGATGCCCTCCCAAAGCCCCGTGACGAAGAAGCTCATGCAACAGATCCTCCTCGGCCTTCAAGAGGACAATTGCTTCAGCGGAAATTCGTACACGATCCGGCTCGTGTTCGACGACCTGCATGTCGGCCTGCCTCCGCCGAAGCTGGTTGCTGAAGCTTGAGGCGGGCTCACGATCCTGGATGAAATCTGGGATGGGCACGAGGTCTGGTTGCCGGCATGCACCTGCAGTCAACACGTGCAAGCTGACGTCGGAAGCCCTCGGAGTCCAAACCCGGCACGAATCCATAAACACCTGCATCCGTGCTTGGTTACAGAAGCTCGCCAGCTCCGGAAACTCTTGCCTGTTCCCCGCTGGACTGTACCCGCACTTCTGTGTCCGACAGAACTCGGACATGTGTGTGCAACATCACAAGTATGCTGCTTTTGCTGCGGCCCCGATCCGCCCGAACATCCTTCCGCTGCTCGGGTCGAGCATCCAAGGAAACTGCTGGCACCACCACTTCTGTTCGCAAGCTCAGCCACAAGTGCTGAGACAGCATCTCCTTGCATGGCACATCTGCCTCCTCTTCCGGCTGCCTGGGTGTGTAGCGGAGGGCAAGCTCTGGAAGGCCTCCTCACCCAGCGACACCAGGCTGCCGTTCCGGAGATGGCTCCTCAGGAAGTGCACAATCTGATGAGGGGCTGGGTCCAGCTTCAACGGCACGGAGTCTTCCGTGCGGGCAGCAGCCGAGGCATCCAGCAACGCCTTTTGGTACACGGCCTGGGCAGTTGCCTCCTCGCTCACGTCCATGAAGTGCTCGTCTGGGCGGTACGCGTACACCTTCGCCAATCTCTGCACAACTGTCATTCGCCTGACTGTTTGCTTCGGCAAGCAATGCTCAAGCAGGTGTTCCCAGATCTGCCTATCACGCCAGTGTGCTACAAGAAACTGCAGCTGCTGGGGATCACCAATCATGGCTACGACCTGCTTCTCTCGCTTCAGGGCCGGCATATCGCTTGCCTCTCCTCGCAGCATTGCGAATCTCGGAGTGCTGTCTCTCTGTGCCTCGCTCCGCGAGGCTGCAGAAAGAATACTCTTGCACCATGGTCCACGCCTCGGCATAATGGTGCAGGGGCAACTCCGAGTCTGCAAAAGCTTTCAGCTGCCGGCTTTCCAATGTCTGACCGGAAAAGGCTCGAAAGGACACTGCATCCACAAAAGCGCCACCTGTTGTCGCCTGGGAATACTGACGAAAGCCTTCCGAAATGGCGGCCTTGCAACGAGCCCAAAAGATGCCTGTGTACCCCCCAAATGCTGCACGGACCACCCAAGGGATGGTCTGTGCATATGCAAACTTCTGCTCGAGCACCACGCGAAGTTGCTCTGTCGCGAGTGCATCTATCGCCGTAACACGTGCTCGGACATCAGCCGGCGCAGCGAGCATCTCCGAGATGTACTCTGCGCGGGCTTGGTTTGTAAAGTACTGGATGAGGTCCGTCATCTTCCCGCAGGCCAGCTCTGGAAGCCTCTTCCCCTTCCAGCAACAAGTGCCAGATCCAGTTTCTTCCATCATTGTCTTTCGCCGTTTGGAGGCTGGCATCTGGGAAACCAAGATATGCTCGTGGCAGAAGCAACCCTCGATCCAATGTGCAAGACGGGCTGCCGCTTCTGCGAACTTCCCAGCCCACATAACCATCCAACCATGCATGTCATCCTGAAAATCTCCGTGATCTGCTTTGCAAGATGCACATCGGAACCAAATTCCTCTGGCCTCCAGTGCCTCAGCAGCAGCAACCGAAGAGGGGCCCACGATGCAAAGAATCCCACCGCCACTCCAACAAAGTGTCCCGGAAATGATGCAATGTCTGCTTGTCTGCTGCTGTGCCCGCCCCCGCAGGGGCCCCCGCATCGAGCATTTTAACCTCGACTACTTCTTGGTCGCTGCGGGGTGTGAGCAACCTGCACACCGTGTTCAGCTGCTTGCGCAGTACCTCAAACTCAGGTACACTCTTCACTACAGCCTCCAGGGTGTTGAACACCACGTGCAAAGAACCAGGTATTTCCCAGGCTTCCGGAGAAAAAAAGGTAGCGCTCGCACCCTCTCATGTGCGGCGGCAGCTCCTGTGTCCCTGGCAAGTCCCCGCACTGCCTCCTTGACGTTGGCTGCAGTATCTATAAGGGGTATTTGCAGATCAACCGCTCCGCCCCCTGATCCGACAAGAAACCGCGCACTTCGCCTCTATACTGTGGGAGAGCAACCGCTGTGTTCTCCAGGCATATGATGTGCAGAACTCGCATGGTCTTCAGAGCTGCCGAGCTCTCACCTCGAGCGATGGTGGTCACTACCATGGTCCTCCGTTCCACGGCGAACCCTCTCCACGGATCTACTTGCCCGCTTGCATCCACTGGCACACGATGGACACTGTCTCTAGTCATCAGTTCTTCTGTGACCAGGAAGTAGTCGTAGTTTTTTTGCGGGCTGCTGTCTGCCGACAAAAACCTGACCGTTCTTCGATCTGGCTGGTTCGGCTTCGCGAAAACCCTCCGGCTCAAGCTGTGCAAACAATCCAGCTTCACGAGAATCGTTCGCACGTGGCTCTTGGAGGGATTCACGTCTTCTTGGTTCGTGTTCTCAGCCAGCACATCCATCATTCGAAGCACAGTTTGCACCACCTCAGCCACGGCCGCTGTGGAGCTCAAGGAATAGCAGAGTTTTCCCATCAGAATCTCGGTCATGGGGCGCCTTCGGATGGCCTTGCCTTTTGTCGAGACCTGCACATCCCAAAGAAGATCCGCTAAATCGTCCCCTGCACCGGCACCATCAGGAGCCTCTTCAGTGTCCCCTGCCTCAGCGGGGCCTGCAGTGTTTGCAGGCTGCAAAGGCAGGGATGGCACGGAAGGAGGCTCAGGCTCAGGAGGAGCAGACGGAGCAGACTCAGACTCTGCAATGGGCTCTTCGGAAAACGTCCGAAACCCCATCTTCCGACAAACCCCTTTAGGTACGGCAAGAACAAGTTCACGGGCTCTCAAACTGTCGAGAATTGCAACCGGCACCTTCCAAAAACTCACCGAGCGCCGAGGTCTCAACAATTCCTCCGGAGCCCCGTGGGTTCTCATATGCTGTCGGCATGTTCGGGCACAGGTTGGTGTTGCACGATCTGCTTGCCGGGGAATGCATCTTGCTTTCGCAAAATGCACCGCCGGTCCGGGAAGTGAAACACATTGGCGACGTGCAGCTTACAAAATTGGCTGGTGAGCGACGCTGAACCTTTCCCAAGTTGCGAGTCCTGGGCTCCCCGGTCCCGTCGTCGCAAAGGTCGAGACATCCACGCATCTTGATGCGAAGCCAACTCACCGGCCGCACACGCATCCGGAGCACTTTGCAGCGACTCTGCCAACTCCACCAAGTAGTGGACCCCGACACACTGCACAGTTTCACCAGACACTTCTTCATTAGTCTTTTCTTGGTAGCTTCCGGTGTGCTGATTCGTTCCAAATCAGGCTCCAGCGTAAAGTGCTTGCAAACGGCTCACAACAACGGTTTTGTGACGGTTTAGGGTTTAGACTGGTGTTTAGGGTTTAGGGTTTAAACAACGGTTTTGTGACGGTCAAGGGTTTAGGGTGTTTACAGCCTAGGGATTAGGGCAGTTTTGTTGTAGTCGAGTAAAATTACGTGCTTGCAAACGGCTGCGACGCGACATCTGACGAGGGGCTGAACACACATCCCACAAAACAACATACCTCAAGACTCTAAAAACACAACGCAAGCCACACAATTTTGTCGACCCTAGACTCAAACCCTAAAAGTTTCCAGTCCAATGGCCAAAGTCACGCTTCGAGACCAAATGCCTGTCCGGTGGCCCAAATATTTTCGGGTACGTGTGTGGATCAAAAAACACCATGTTTTCAGTGAACCCCCCATGAGAATTACGCGAACCCTGTTTTTACCCCCCCCAACGGCTGTAGATGAGAACTTCATACATCTCTCTCCCCTTTGCCAAAAGCTGCTCGAAATCAACATCCGGCGGTGAGTGCAAGTATGCGGCATGCTCACGAAGACTGCAAAGAATTCTCCGAGCTTCTTGATTTGAGGGGCTTGCGGCTTGCGATACAGCCTGATGGAGAGAGCTGTTTGCAAGTAGTGCCTCAAAGTTTCGGCACGTGCCCAGCGGCCCGCATATTGCAATTGCCCGATGTTTTGGTGCACCCTAAAATGATGTGCGGCACCGCCACCCCGTAGCGAGCCTAATGTGAACCCGCGCATCTCCTCGAGCGCCTGTCTGAAGAGCACAGCCCACCGTCGCCGACTTACACGCATCACACCCTGGTTTCTCGGACGGCCTTTACACCACCACTGCAGCCACCGCATTAAATCTCGCTCCTCAGCCAAAGCGAACTGGTGATGCCACACACGCCGTGTTTTAGGGTTCCTTATGTTGATCACCAGGGCAGCTCCTTGGCCCACTTCCTCGTCGACCGGGAAGAGTAGGTCTGCAATCCTGAGCGAATCGACATTCCCCTGGTCTAAGAAGAGCCCGGTGTATTGGAGGCCTCGAGTCAAGAAGAACACCAGCAAACCTCTCCAGATGAAATAAGGTAGTGGAATCCGGGGCTTAATCGGCTCCGGACGCCGCCAACCTCGTAAGAGAGTCCAAGAGTTCTTCAGCAACGGGCCTGCAATGCAAAGCATCCTTGGAATCCCTAGCACTCCCAGCGCAACCCAGTAGCGTTTCTCTCCCGAGGCATGGCAGATGGCTTTCTCCAGCAGGCGATCCACATAAACTGGAGAAGATCGGTCGGTAAATTTTCCCCCCAACGCATGCACTGACTGAAGTAAGCACTGCCCTGCCTCGCGAAGAAGGTGCCTTCGGTAATCAGACGACAGAGCTGCTTGGCTCAGACGACGGCGGCCCCCTTTTCCACGCGGCATGGGTTGCCGCTAGCTCCCGACACGAAACTCTTGCGCGCGCCTCGGCCCCCAGCGCCTGGACGAACGGCTTCCCGCCATGATAAGTACCCTTCAGCCCCAAACCCAAGCATGAGCCCAGCCACGGTGCATTGGACAACAGCATTGTTGGCTGAGGCGTCATCGGTGTGTGGCTCGGGAGCTTGGCAAACGCACTCCAACGGAACATCTTCAAGCCCTCTGTTCGCCGAAAAACAGTTCTGTGCACGGCAGCTGCCAGGCCTCGCTCCGGCGGGGATGCTCGATCACGGAGTGGCCTCCGAGGTGTGAAATTTCACTTGCCAACTCCAGAGCACGGGCCCAGCACGCAAGTTCATAGTCAGCTTCAGCTTCTGGCCCGGCCCTGGTAACGCTCGAAGCTGACGGACAGCGGCGCCTTAAGCAGGTGATCCGTGTCGGGGTCCAATCGTACCGGGGCTCCCCTGATCTCAGAGCGGCGCCACAACTCTGCGGCCAATGGTGCCACTTCTGCACGAACGGCCCCACCTGAGGATGGCGTCGCATGGGTGGCCAAGAGTGACGAAGCCAAGTGTGACCGCATGCTCCATGTAGCCAAACATAAGTGAAACGCCACGGCACGCAGCTCATCAGCGATGTACCCGGGAAGCCGCACGGTCCTCCCAGGCACCATCTTGGACACGAAGACATAGAAGTGGTGCAAAAGGCAAAAGAACTCCCGCCTGAACTGGAAGCAATCAGCCACCACAGCTGCTTCCTTACTTCCAACGGGGCCCCAACCTTGCCCTCGATCCCATCAACCTCGGCGCCCCAAGCTTAAAGCGCACCTTGCACGAAACGACTTTTGCAAGGCTCTGGGCAACTTCGCCTCCACGTAGGCAGCCTCGGCCTTCTTGGCGTGCACCAGGCCAGCATCCTGATCATGCGGTGCACGCGGTTCGAAGCTGTCGTCCAGGGGAATGACAAAAGCATAGCAACCTTCAAGGTGATGAGCAGGTCGTCTAGATAGACACCTTCCCACAGTGGATCGGTAGGTACTGGGCAACCATACACAAGCTTGTGCTCAGCCTTCAACAAGCCGTGGTGCTGCAGGATGCTCTCGTGCGTCGCCGGCGCGATGGAGCAGGCGTTCTTATCGCCCATCCCCAGGACTCTGAAACATAGCCGGTGATCTTGACTCACGTCGCCACCGAATTCCCGCACGACCTCCTTGCTAACACGACGGCCCACTGGATTGTATCGGACCCATTGCGCAGGTAACTTCAACACGTAGTAGAAATTCTTAAGGTCTTCCCCCGAACCCCGCAGAAACTCATTCGGCTCCAGCAACATCCTGACGAAACAAGTCCCTGAGGGCAGCGCTTCCCATCCCAGATGTGGCATTGTGTTGTTCTCGGGCCTCCGGTTTTTTCTCAAGCGATCGTGCTGTTGGTCTTCGCCTACACAGAAAAGCCCTCCACAAAGAAGTTTTTTTTTGCGAAGTCCGCGGCAGATCACGCTCACAAACCAGTTGGGCCACGCCTGTGCGAAGAAGCTTCCGGGCCAGGTCGGCTTCGTGCTCCTGCGGAACACGATGGCAAGCTAATACAGCTTCGCCCCTGGCCGCCTCAGGCAGCCTCAGCTCCTCCAAGTTTCTAACCACTGCCGCCTGGCTCGCAGGTAGCCAGTCCAGCGGGTCCACCCAGCCGTCTCCGGCACGGCCACCCGATCGGCAGCCACAGGGAGAGCGCCAGCAGGAGCAGGAACCTGACCCACTCCGTAGCTTGCAAAGTTGAGTTGCAGCATCTCCTCCAAGACAGACCTTTTGCTTGAACACGTGAGGGACCCAAAAATTAACTCAACCGATGCGAATTCGACCACCTCGCCGAGCAACTTCTCAGAATACTGCTGCACATCCACTCTGTGAAAAAATCGCGGCTCCAATGCTGAACTCCCCAAACTCGGGCACCCAAGCACCACGAAGTTGCCGCCGGCTACAAACGTGTTTACGAAAGCCTTGGACCACCAAAACAGAGCTTGGTCATCGCCTTGCACCTCCTCGACAAAAGAAGCCTCAGGAAAGGGGAGAACAGCCGGGAAAAGTATAATATTCCATAAACTTTGAATTCGGTCGATTCCCTGCTCTGATCTCTGCTCGCAAGCCGCCACATCCATCATAGCACACCGATAAATCCCCTTGGACTTCCCCAAGGCTGCTTGCGCATGTAGTCCCGAAGGGTCCAGCTCTGGCCAGGCACAATGCCCAGCTCCTCTCGAATCTCCTTCTCGTAAGTCAGGTAGATCTTGCGGGGATTCTTCTGGATGCGGTCGTGTAGGCGATGCAGCGTGCTCACAGCGCGCAAGCCACGATTTTGCGTCTTCCGGTCTCCTTCCGAATCGTCGGAAGAAGAGCCACCAAGGAGGCTGCTTGCATCCAGCTTGTCGCCGCAATTGCCCGGCGGCTTCGCTTCCGGTCTTCCTCCAGCATAGCCATCAGCGCCAGAGGCAGAAGGTCGATCGCACTTTGCCCCCCAGCCAGGGCTTTGGCGACCTCTTGCCTGAGATCTAGCTCGGCTCCTGGCTCGATTTTCGAGGTTTGGCTTTCTTCGCCCCAACACCGGGCCGGAGAAACTCCTCTTCCCCTGCTTCTTCGTCCTCGTCCTCGGTGTCGTCGTCCTCCTCGTCGTCTTCGGCTTGGCTGGCCCGGGGTTTCCGGAAAAGGGCCTTCAACGAATCGAGCTCCTGCTCGATCCGAGCCTTTCCCCGGGTCGAAGGCTGACTGGGGCGAGCTTCGGTTCCACTGCTGTTCAGATCTCGATCTCCTACCTGACCCCAGGCTTTCTGGGCATTGCTCCATGAAGATAGGTCTTACTCCGCAGTCCTTTCCAGTCACTGGGACGGGCAGGCAACAGTTAGCACAATTTACTTCTTGAAACCAAGAACGTTGCCAAGTTTGGCAGGCTCACCGGGACAAGGAATTGTGCCCCCTGATTCCTCAACCCATACACCACATCCCACAAAGCCTCCTAACGAGATAACGGCATTGTCAAGGTTTGCGTGAAAGTCTCGGTGGAAACCGGTAGCGACGTTACTGAAGATACAGAGAGTTGTGTACCCGAAAACTTGGGAACTGTCGAATATGCAAACTTGTTGAGAGCTTTGGTGACCAGGGGGAACTGATGGGCTGAAGCCCTAAGTCCGAGAGCTCCACCCATTCGGCAAGTAAAGTTCAGTGGACAAAGCATCTCCATGATCACCCCCAGCAGCAGGTTCCTTATCAACGAGGCCGAACAAGTTGCGGACTGCACGGTGGCTGGCGTTACCACCAGAACTCAGAATTTGTCTAGCCCTGATTTCGGCAGGATGCGAATCTAAGCTTCGGAGGGCGCTTGGTAGAGCAGCTGGACCCTCGCTTGCGAACCCCACTGAAAGGTCACTTACAGGGTTTGCAGCTCCATGCGTGAACTTCACCTGGCCGGTGTGAGAAACATCAGTGACGAAGAAACGAAGACTCCCGGGCAACCAAATGAAGGCTTTCCCGGAATCAACATCAATCCCAGTGCTGCGAACTAACGGGCAGCTGCGCAACATGTAGTGATTTGCAAAATCCATGCTGTTGGGCTCAAACCCAAGAGTCTGCAAACCAGGCTGAGGTCCAACACCTTTGTGAAAGGTACCGGGAAACCTAGATGCACCTAAGTATCGATCAAAGGCATCACGAGAATCCCCTGATCAGACAAAGCTTTGGCCGAACCTAAGTGGCGATCATAGAGCAGCCGAACCGAGTCTCAATCTCACACTCCTTGATTTGATTCTCTATCCGTGTTTGGTTAAGCTGAAAGGTCAACGACTTGTTGCTCGATTGACACATTCCAGAAGAGCAGCATTGGGCTCCTGGTAGCTCATACCTTGCGTGACTAGCTCAGCCTCTAACCTGATCAACTCAGCCTTGGCCTCACAGAGCTGACCTCCATGAGTTGTCCGTACTCAAATAACTCGCTGCTCCTTACTTCCGAAAGCCTAAGCTGTTCGCGAAGTTGGTCTGGTCTACCGCCGATCCTGCCTCATTTAACACGTCGCGGACTTGACCCTGCACCTCACTCATGGATGCCGGTGTAGCAAGTCTGCCTGGCTACACGATTTGCAGCTTCACCGGCAGCAAAGTGCTGAGCGGCAAGGACTCGTTGGGGCGCTGCTCCGAGGAGTTCGGGCTAAGTCCCTGCTGGAAGCAGGAGGTAAACGTTCTCGCTCTGCCAAAGCCGAACTACTATCCGTCCCCCTGAAGCACAGGAAGAATCCCTCATACCCGGAACAGCAGTCGCTGACGCACTTGAGATGTCAAGCAGCGAGCTGGGAATCAGTTGGAGTTGATTGAGATTGAAACATGATGGTAACGAAATGCCTACGGCAATGGATGCAACGGTCAGTGGCGCGATGCGCCGGTCAGACCACACGAAGTACAACCCGGTGAGTGGCGCAATGCGCCGATCAGACCACACGATGCACAACCCGGAAGTCTACACCGAGAGCAACCCAATTTCAGAAGTACCGCTACCTATAAGGTCTGAGGACGGTGGTGGCGCTGAAGCAGCCTAACTCACCGAGTCCTTTTGCAGGCCAGCAGACTTCCTCACAGCTCAGAATAGCTGGCTCGGCTTCGAAAACCGACATGAAAGATCTACCAATCTCGGGAATCTCACGCTTCGGTAGCTGAATATGAAAGGCCGTCGAGTTGGAGGCACGATTGCGGTGCAAATCGAAACGTTGTCGTCAACGATGAGAGCAAGATGTCGAAACAATCGCCTGAAATATCCAATTTGCCCAATCGGCTCTTTCTCTGCCTTGCAATAACAAGCAGGTCTGCCTGTCGTTGTCCACCAAGACGGGTCCAGTAGACTCAGTAGACCCCTGCGCACTCGTCCTGATTGGAAACCGGAGTTTGAAAGTGACGACAACGAGGAACCATTAGAAGAAGTGGTCGTTGAGGCAAAGGCTGCGCCATTGATTCCGAAGTCGACTGGTTCTGCTTCTTTTTCATCGACTAGGACGGGTCCCTCCTACTCCACCACCGCCGCCAGTGCGTCCTACATCTGCACCACCAGCTCCAGTGCCCAGCCTGCTACGCCTCTGTCAGCACCGCCAGTTCCAGTACCTCAGCCTGCGAAGCCTCCGTCAGGTGCGGCGTCTGCATCTGGACAGCGTTTGGCTCCTACGCCAAAGGTGAAATCTGCTGCAGCAGTGACTGAAGTGCCAAAGGTGAGTGCGGCTGCAGCAATGGTCCGCCGCCTTCAGCGAGCTCTTCGTCTGCTGCGGGGTGCCTCACAGACCAACCTGTCGTTGATTTGCCTTGGAGTGTGCTCCTACATAGTCCAGATACGTCCGTTGCAACTTTCGGGTGGAGGACTGGGAACACATCGAGGGCAAAGTGGTCATCTTCGATTTCCACGACATCATTGACAGGTATTTCTGGGCGCCAAAGATTGGGCAGCGTAAGACTCAGTGTAAGATTCCTTATCCGGACGAGGGTTAAAAGTTGCTCGTTGACATACAGAGCTTGCTGAGGCGCGTTCACAGAGCTGCGCGGATTTGTTCGCACATTAGCGAGGGTTCTCGAAGTATTGAGGAATGGTTGCTTGGTATGTTGCGCAACACGTTCATCCAGGCCGCGGGACCACCGGAACCTGTTCAATCGAGCTGTAAGGATACGGTTGCAAAGCCAACTGGTAAGCTTGGAATGCCTTCCGTTTCCGAACAGCCGATTTCCCAGCACGACTTCCCCCGGGTCGGTGCAAGATCTCTGGCCCTCTCTCCGGACTCGGCGCGTCCATTGGCGAGCCTAAGCCCTGAACTAAAAACAAGAACGCAGAAAGACCAAAAGAAAAGCTTACGGCTGATAACCACTTATTCCGACCCCTACTAAGGACATCACCGAAGTAGGGTAGGGAACAAGGAGCAAGGGAAGGGAAACCAACATAGGAGCCCCGAACACGGTACGAACTTCAAGTGCGCACCTTCTCGTCTTGAGCCAAAGGTACATCGATGGCAGTTCAGGCTACACAGTCAGGCATACTCTTTACATGAGGGAACATCGTATTTCAAGAACTGGCAAGGGCCGCAGGGCCCGTGCTGAATGCCTTTTTCAAATTAAGTACAAAGGCCTCACAAAGCATATGTGGCGGTCAGCAACTATTGGCTGGGGCTCCAGCAGAATACCACCAAGTTCCGTGAAAAGCTGTCTCCCATGTAGGTTGGCTCTTCACGACTGGATCCTGAAACATTCGTGGGCATGCCGTGGAGGGGTCCTGCAGGCCCTTGGACAATGTTTCAAGCACAGAGCGCACCTTGGTGTACTGGTAAACCTTCCATCCCTGCAACAGAAAATCTCCATCACGCATCCCAAGGAACTCGGTGGTGGATCGCCTTCTCGTACCCCGCTTCGACCAAGACCCCGTCAAGACCACGCACCTCGTACCCGCGCATGAATCATCCACCCGGAACGATAATCTTGAGTACGGGAATCGCACCTTCAGCCACTCGTCAAAAAGAGCAGCGAAATCTTTTCGGGCACCTCTGGGCTGGGCCGGTACAGCACCAGCTCTTCGTGGCCTGCACACCTGGACCACATCGCTTCCGAAACTCGAGAAGCGGAAGCCACTGCCCCCGGGCCCAGGGACCTCCCGCCACTGGATCACCAAGTCCTTGAATGACAGTGAAAGCTGAGAGTAAGCCGGAGGAAAGAAAATGAGGTCGCGTCTTCGCGTCCGGTGGAGGCACCCTCCAAAGCTTCCCTCACGTTCTCATCAACAGCCTCCTGCACACTGCATTTTCAGCTGCAAACACTGAGGAGGCACAAGCATGTAGGACACTGAATTATTGAATGGTGTCACAGTCGGACTTGCCATAGCTTGTGTATCAGATGCGCCTCCATCTGTGACTTCCGCAAACCCTCACAGCCCGAAATCCAAAAGGGCTTGCCTGAAAAGATGAAAGGCAGACTGAAACGGACCCATTCCTTCAGAGCCGATGGACAGCCCTTACTCGTGGTAAGGGTTCAGCGTCTAGGATACCCCGACACGAGTTACCGCAGTCTCGAAGTCGATCTTAGGTGATGAGGCAAAGTAGTCAGGTGGGCAATTGTTCATGAGCTGCCTAAACAAGAGTGCCTCCCGCCCTGCACCGCTTGTCAGCTCCAAAGTTACCTTGCTGACATCGTTGGACTCCAACCAGTGTGGCTTGCAACTCTTGGGAAGCCGGACCACGACTGAAACGTGCAGTGAAGTACAGCAGAAGTCTTGCTAGGAAAACGTTTTATGGTAGTGAACGGAGCGAGTTGCAGAACACCGAACGCAAGTCCAGCCTAAGGGGTCTGCCCTAAAAGCTTGCTGCGTCCTTGTCGGCATCTCCAGATCCTGAATTCATCGTGGAAAGACAAGCTGGAAAAGGTGCAAACGACAGTACTGTCCTTCGGAGGCTTCGCTCGGAATGAGATCTCGCGCAGCCTCCAGAATGCCATCCAGCACCATTCCCGGATGGTCCTCTCCAAAAGGCCCTCGGTCGAGCAAATCAAAAGTCCGACCCTATTACCCTCACCCACGTCACCCCAGACAAGCTTCCGTCATCAAGAGCTTCATCCGAATCCTGGTTGCAGCCATGTGTGCCAAAATACAGCAACGTTGCGTGGACCCACATGTCACTTAGGTCAAGGCCTCGTGTTGCAGCGCGCGGGCATAAACCATAATGCATCTACAAGAATCTTGCTCCCACGAATTGCTCTTTTTGCCTGTGGTCTCTGCTTGCCATCAGAAGGACTTCTCGATGCATGTTACAGCTGCCAAGTGGAGGCCTTGATGCTCGAGCCGTTGAGCCCGTGCAAGCTGGCGAGAATGGTCGTCGCTTGCACTTCAGGGCTATCAAGAAAAAGCGGTTTGCAGCCCCTGAGAGCGAGCATGGATGCGGGGTCGCTTGATGTTGCGCACTGTTTCATTTCGCACGCTCAGTTGCCACTTGTTCGCTCTGGTCACCACCATTCTCTTTGTAGCAGGCCGTGATGAGGTTGCTGTTCTGGTCCTTGTGGGGCTCAGTCCTGGAAGCTCATCTCCCGCGCGCATCCGATATCCAGACCTAAGAGGTCTTTGCGGACCTGAGGTCGTCTCGACTTTTGCCTGCACAGCTGTTCTCGTTTCTCAATTAGAGTCACAACAGCAACACCCGCGCGTGCCTCTTCTCAACGATGGAACTGCATGGGGGGAATCTGGAGCGGCCTTGCAGAAGCAAGCGCTTCCGCTTAACGCATCGACTGACAAGTGCAACTGCACTTGTTGTGGGGCGATCGTGGATCAACGGACCTCTACTGCGGAGGCAAGACAAGCAAGCAACGCGCCTCAGTGGCATCGCCGGCAGGACCACCGGCACAACCGGCACTACCGGCGGCGCCCTAGGCAACGCAAGGCCAAGGGCATCCGGGTGCCAGTCGGAAACGCCCCACAAGGCTCTCTGAGTCACATGCGCAAAGCCAGGACGCCTGAGTCTCAATCAAAGCCCTCTTTTGACACACAGTTCGTTCTATTCGCGTCCTTGCAACTCAGAGCTCAGGTCAGCGCGGCAGCAGCACCGGACTGCCAGCAGAGGCTTAAAGGCTTCGGCCCCAGCTCCCCAGCTCCAAGATCCGAGCCTCGCCCACGGCGAAGCAACCGGCGCCTATACAACAGGCTGACGGTGAAAGACAAAGGACAGGTTTCTGAAGCTCGATGTCGGTTTTCCTAGCTTGGACCCCATCCCGTCCTACATGCACTCGAACATGGTACATGCTGGAGACATGCTTGGCAGGCGACATGCTTGTCCAGTTGTCGTTGTCTCCGCATACTGCATTCGCAACCGTGGCCCTTGCCTGCGCTGGAGTTGCCATGCCTGGCCATGCTGGTGTAGGAGTACGCGAAAAATGGCGCTTGCCAGTGTCAAGAGCTGCACCTGGCGCTGCAGGAGGCCTCCGTGGAAGAGCTTTTTCGCATGCCGCTCTCTAATGTTCAGGGGTGTCTAGGTCCTGGTCCTAGGTGCGAGCCTGGGCAGCGTTGATGCGCCCATCGCGCCGGGGCTTGGCACGCCTGATATGACAATTTAAGCCACTGGCACTGCGCCGAATCTGGCTTCCACTCCCTCGCAAATCGACACACTCACGAGCGCCATGCCCGGACACAGAAAGCAGAAGTCTCCAAAGGCTTTGCCAAGCTAGGGGGCTGTGGGCCTGGTGCAGGAGGTGGCGGAGGCGAGGGCGGTCTCAGACGAAGTCCCAGTTCCCATGCGGCAAAAAATTCCCAACCGAGGCGTCGACGGGACGACAACTGCGGAGCTGAAGGTGCCCGTCCTTGCCGCCCCAGAATGCTGCATGTGTGAAACTGCAACAACCGGGTTGTTTGCTTTGGTGCGAGAAACTGGTGGCGTGCTTTGAGGCTGCAACTCGGGACCCGGGGTACCAGCTGCGATGACCCTGCACAGGCCAAGGGTTTGGTCGGGCCAGGGGGTTCGTCAAAAAACAACTCGGGAAAGCCGCGCCGGACTGTCTCTTCCGCGAACTGCTCCGCTTCAACGACCTCAAGGATGCAAGCCTTCTACATTCAAGCTGCGGCCTGCGGCACACGGCCCATCTCCTTCCCCCAGCCTGCTCGGGCCTTCCGCAAAGCTCAAGCTGGCACTTCAAAGCATCTCGCCGAACCTTGGTACACTGGACTCCACACTTCGCATGTTGTTTCCCACCAGTCACGGAGGGGATCATGTCATTGCAAGCATGCGTTCGACATTCGAGTTGGGCTGCCAACGGCAGCCCACAAACATCATTTCGCGCTCTGAGAGAACCGTTTTCTTCAAGATGCCCACTCTTGATTGCATCTGCATGCAACTGGCGTTTCCAGTGCATCGCATCCGCCACTCGCAATTTCAAATACAGCACTAATGCCTCTTTCTCTGACAAATGAGAGTCTCAGAACACTCTCAGAACATTAGGACCCGTAGTATAGAAACCAGACAGTCAGGACCCCAGCATGGAGCCCCCAATCTGAAATATCCACATGGAATCAACTCTCTTTTCATGGCGCCAGGTCCCGCTCCTCACGACGGGAGCCTGAAGCTTCCCACGAGTGGTTCTTCGTGCGGGTCACCTGGCCCTGCAACGTGTCCTACCTCCCTCATCTCTCCTCAAGCACCAGTTGGGCTCGCACTCCAGCGAGCACTTCCCTTTCGAGCTTCGGAAGGTACTCGGCTTTAGCTTGTGCGATCCTGAAAGAAAGCTCTCTGTTCCATACCCAGCGGGTGCGTTTCTTGCAGCTTTGCCCTGCAATGAGCTTCCCGCTCTCGTCCACTTTCCACTTGCACATTGTACCTCCAACCAAGTGCGCTTCCATCCTTTGAGCAAGTTCATGCTCCCAGGATTTTGCACCCCTTGCCACTCGTCAAGGAAGTAGTTCCCTGCTTCCATCTGTGCCTGAAAGGCCTCGAAGCAAAGTCCGAGTTGTGAACGGGACTTCTTCAGGTTCTCGCGCCTGGCTTCGGCTCCCACCTTGTTGGTGGTGTCAGAGGCGCGTTGCACGGACTGGAACGGTCCGGTGGGCAGTCTTCCTATTGGGAGCTTTGGCTTCGCGTGCTCCAACTTCTCGAAGAAACGCAGATGCTCAGCCTGTGTGAACATGCGTCGTTCCAAAATCCAATTGAAGGATGACGCCTTCGTTCAGTGTGCTCCAGGGCACATTGCTATTCCTCCCAAGTTGTCGAACCATAGAACTTATAGCCTTCGCCTCGGCGGGGCTACACGTCATGCCCTTCTGCTCGAACATCCTCGTGATCAGCCCGATCTGGGCATTTTCACCGGCTGGCGGCGGATTCGCCGCTGCCTCATGCATCTCTGCATCGGCTTGCGCTTGTCTGTGAGAGTGGTCTAGACCGGGCCCTGCAGAACCACTTGCACCACCGTGCACCTTGGCCCCTATGACCTCAACGTCTGGACCATCGGTGGTCCCCTAGAGGGTTCCTCAGTTCCTCCCGATAGAGCTCGTCGACGCCCGTGGAAGCTTCCCTCTTTTGTCGCGTCGGGGACTCTTCGGTCTCCATCGGTCTCGACAGAAGTGCTCCTGCAGCTTCTTCCGCTGCAACTTCCATGGCATCGGGCGCAGGTCTTCCTTCCAACGCAGGCTGGTCCTTCTTGACCTTCTTGCCATAGTCTCTTTCGACCCTTTCCTGAGCTCTTTTCACTCTCTCCTTTCCTTCTTCAGTTTCTTGCAGCCTTCTTTGGACTCTCACACGGCATTCGTTGTTGCGCGCTCGCTGCGGGAGACCCATCAGCGCTGCGGGAGACCCATCAGCTGCGCATCGCACCCAGGACACCGGGGCGTGTAGCCGTATAGTTCTATGTCGGACTTCATGACGTAGAGGTTTCGTGCCTTGAAGTCTCGCTGCAAAGGTGCAGGCTGTTCACCTTCGAGTGCCGGCATGCCAACCCGATTGGGCGGCGCTCGCTCTTGTGGACCCGACATCCTCCAAGGTAACCCGCGAAGTTCAGCGAACCGTTCAGTAGGCCACTTGTCACCCTCGGGTCTCCTGTGCACGGAGTGGCCCCGGGATATACCATCGGACGTCATGATCATCAGGTCCGCGTTCCTCGACGCAGTCCCAACGTAGCGTCCCATGGAAACCCTGGTTCTCGAGGCTTCCTCTTTTGTGCTTTGTACCGACAGGCTTGAACATCACCTGCTCGCCAAAGACAATGGTAAGTCGCCGCCATGGTCGACCCAGCGTTCGCTCATAAGCGGACTTTCCGTCTTCACCAATGCGAGAACGGCTCATGAGAAGCGCTGCGTGTCTCGCGATCCAGGCAAGGATCGGATGATCCACGCCGACCTCGATCTTGAGCCTCGTCTCCAGCTCCGACAGGATAGCTCTTACCATTCTCTTCACTTCTCTCACAGCTGCTTCAGCTACACCGTTGGCTGGTGCGTTCCCATGCTCTGTGCTCGTTGGGCACTCTCGCAGGTCGAACTCCACACCTTTCACCTCTTCGCTGGCCTTAAGCTCGAGCGCCTTCAAGGCGTGCTCGTTGTTCGAAAACAGACACATCTTCTTCGAACCGGCCTCGCGAATGATGCCTGCCAACCACGTCACGTTGTAAGTGCGTGTTCCCTTTTGCGGCTGAGACGTGGCCCAGGTGCGCTGTGTTCTGTCGCACCGCACCACAAGGTGTGGCATCACATCATCCTCTTGCTTGTCCTTGCCAAGGAAGAAGTAGTCCATGTGCAGTGCCGGCAACGATGTCTCAAGCTCGGACCGTCGAACCTTGTAGTGTGGATTCACCATCTTGTGTGCCCTTTGGCAGTGGACGCACCAAGAGCGGTGCACTGCATGGCCTGAGGCCTCGTGCTGTGCGATCTGGTCGGCTGTTGGCTGGTCTGGACTCTTCGGCACCACAGTTCTCTGTTGCTCTTCGCCTGGAGCTTCTGGCTCCTCGGCGAACCGATCGTCACCAGCATCCTCTCTGCTGTTGCTGCTGTCGCGCTGCTTCCTCTTGCGTTTGGCTTGGCTGCCGCTGCTGCTGCTGCCTCTTGTCTGCTTGCGCTTGCTCCTGAACCCTGTTGTGAAACCGCTTCTCTCTCTCTCTCTCTCTCTCCTTCTTCTTCTCCTGCTTAGACAACACCTCAAGCGTTGCCTTTGCGGCCGCTCTCCTTTTGGCGGCTTCCTCAACCAGCTCAGCCTCCTCGTCCAAGGGTGAAACGCTAAGCCCCGAGGGCCTTACACCGTCTACGGTTGCCCCGTAAAACCCAGGCCGTCTTGGCCTCTACTCTCGCCCTTCAGTCCCCCTTTCTTTCCATCCTCAAGCGGAAACACGTAGATGCCATTCTTCACCTGCATCTTTGTTGCAACTCCTCGGTGTTTCCAGGCCAACTTGCGCAACGCCTCGTCGGCCTCCTTGGCGAAAGCACTTCCCTTCGGGACCAGCAGTTGTCCTGTCCCGTGCAGAAACGCAAAGTGCGTCTTGCACGCCTGTGCTCCCGACAGGAGTACACGGTGAAACCCGGCCCCTGGGCCGGTGATCGTGGCCCCACGGCCTCCCGGCAAAGTGCCGGTAACCTCGGCCTTTCCTTGGTCGCGCAGCGCCTCTCCGGACGCCGTCTTGTCGTAGTCCATCACCTCTTCCTCCTTAGCTTCCTCCTGGCGCTCCTTGCACCTCCTCTTGTGCTCCGGGCCCCACGTGCGGTGGGAAAGGTTGAGGGTCTCCACTCACACAGCGCACAAATGCGCACACGCGACGAATTTCTTCTTCGATCTGTGCCGGTCTGACAGAACGAGCCCCTGCATCAAAACAAGCCCCGGATTAAGAAACTACAAGGGCTCACCAAAAGAGCACTTATGTTCTGCCTTGCGCTGGTTTCCAGCCAAGTTTCCTCTCCTAATCAGAAGAGCCCCCTACAATCCACGCGCTCCTATGCTAGTTTCGCAGGGTGCCTATTGTGCCTATGCTAGTTTCTCAGGATGCCTATGCTAGTTTCGCGGGGTGCCTATGCTAGTTTCGCAGGGTGCCTATGCTAGTTTCGAGGGTGCCTATGCTAATTTCGCAGGGCGCTCATGATGGTTAGGGTGCCACTCAAGTCCTTGGCGCATGCCTATACTAATCACACTTGCCATGCTGCTTCTGGATGCCCGAGCTGGTTAAGAAAGCAAGCAATTGACTTTTCGTGATCGCGTGTGGTGTCAACACCGGAGCTTTGCGGTCAACGTCTTTGACGGCTGTCACGTCGCGACGAAACTGACTTCCTGCGACTTCTCGCTCTGCTGCGCGACCTCCTTCTCGGAGCTTTCTCTGGCAAAAGGGTCCCTCCCCTGTCCACGGTTTGAAGAGCTTGAGCTTTCCCCTTTCGCCACACGCAACTTTCCACCTATCCACGATGGAGGATGCAGTTGGAAAAACACTTCAGGTTGCGCTTCCGGTTGCGTTTCCTCACGTTGTTCGGGCTCGCCAGCTGACAGCACCATGCCCATGCTGAACCTCTCAAGTGAGCTGCGCATGGAAATGTAGTCCTTCAATCTATGCAGCGGATTTGGAAGTTCTGGGTTCTGCGTGCAAGAACACCAATAAGAAAAATCTATTCCTTTGATCTTGCAGCGGTCAAAGCCCGGGTCTCCGATGCCACTGAAATTTTCATTGTAGACATCATAGTCAGGAGTGAGGGTCACCCAGTCTGTCCCACCGGCACACCACAGCAATATCCGCTCGTGGTAGAACTTGTCATCTTCAAAGCCTGCTGCAACTCGGGTACCGGGATGACATTTGGATAACTCCTCTACCCTCTTGCCGTGAGATAGGCGACCCCCCATGATTGGCTTTCGGCTGGCTTCGAATCAGCAAACAAGAGGAACGTCCAAAGATCGCAAAGGCCTCGATCAATGCTAAGCCCCAAGGACCAGCAGGCCCGACGAATCTGGACAGGTGCACTCACAAGTGACTTCGCAGTGATGGTGATCAGTCTTTCCCCCGAAATGGTTTGCCCCTCTATCGGCCAGTTGAAGAAACCGTGTCAGGAGGAAGGCATGGTCCCAGACTTCGCTCCTTGCCGACATTTTCGTGTATCACACTACCATGGCTGCCACAACGCACCCCAATCCACGTACCGAGCGTGAATCTTGGAGGCACGTGGCTGCTGCAAACTGTGTGCTGATCTTATTCCACCGACTGTACCTCTGAGACCTGCGAAGAGTTAACATTAGAGGTTTTGCTGCGGACAACGCTTCGATCACAACTAAAGCCACGGGTGATTGGGCATGCCGACTCAAAGGATAAATGTGAAAGATGCTGAAAACACATTGAAGGCCTCCGAAGTTGTTGGCTTCCATAGGGCCCTTCACGCTCCAACAGGTTGCGAATCCTCATTGGACCCTATACGGCCCTACACCTCTGGTCCCCTGTTTCGAAGCGGGTCATGCCAGCTTGCAGGACGAAGAAGAAGATGCAAGAAAAGCTGCCCTCGAGAACGAAAAACTTTGGCTGGGGATTGCCGGTTACAGCGGCTACGGGTGCAAGAGTTCCTGGCTTAGGGTCCTCCCGCACCGGTCAGAACGTGCGGGACGCACACCTGAAAACAACCTTCTTCCAGCTCTCGACTGGGTTTTGGGTAGAAAGTTATCAAATGAAAACACAGTCGTCAGAACATCGTCTAAGATTCTAAGGTTCGGCGAGTCATTAGTCAGAAATACTGGACGGATGCGAAGCAGGATCCACATCTCCCACACATTTCACCAATTCTGGGAGCACAGCGATGACTCGAGCGCCGGTCTTGGATTCCACCGACTGTCGCCAAGAGCCATCACCGAGGACCTGCGACGTGAGCTGCTTTCAAGACTACACCCCACGGACGGCACATGCATGCCGGTTGGATGCGATTCACAAGGATCTACCATGAGGCAACAGCCAGAAACAAACCCGGAAGCTGGAGCTGAACACGAGCAACACACGTGGACACCCCGACATCGCAGCAGACCTCTCAAAAGCCGAGGGTTCTCCGAGAAACCGAAACCCGATCGAGAAGAAGTTGCGTCCACCGCTGCCCGCTTGTAAAGTGGAAAACGCTCTTCTGAATCAGCCTACGGTAGCCGTGAAACTCTCAACAGACAGCATGAGCGACGACCCGAACGCTGCAGGAAGATACTGATCAGATTTGACACGAATGTTGAGATTAGAACGGGCATGTTGCGCGGCATGAGAACACCCTGCAACGCCTTCTACCTACAGCAACAGCACTGCTTAAGAACTCATTGGTTTGAGAAATTGAGCCCCTCGGACAGCCGTGCCACTGTAAAATGCGCGAGTTCATAATAAGAAATCCAGGGTACCCTGGACTCGGCGTGCCAATTTCTTAATCTTGCGCTTCTCATTTTGTCTTCGCTGGTGTTGTTCGCACAAAAACTGAAACCAAGAAACTAAGGGAGTAGATTTCGTATTCCGAAAGCTCGGCGCCAAACCCTTACGAAGGAAACCAAGAAATGAGAGCACTGGAGGGCACGAGCCTGGAACGCTTTCCATTCCATCTCATGTGTTAGGCTTTGCCATATAGGAAGAAAGCCACCAAAATAAGAAATTGAGGGGCTCGTTTCTTGAATAAACGAGGGGATCGATTTCTTGTTTTGGAGGGTTCTGGGCTTGCCTCATAAGGGCTTAATAAGGCCTTAATAACAGCTTTTGGACGGCTCTGAGGCTTTGTGAGGGCTTAGTAAGGGCTTAAATAAGGCTTTGCCATATAGGAAGAAACCACCAAAATAAGAAATTGAGGGGCTCGTTTCTTAAATTTAAGAAAACGAGCGGCTCTAGTGCTTATTTTGCGGGGTTCTGGGCTTGCCTCATAAGGGCATAATACGGCCTTAATAACAGCTTTGGACGGCTCTAGAGGCTTTGTGAGGGCTTAATCAGGGCTTAAGTATATAAGTCTTTGCCATATCGGGAAAAAACGCTACAAAGAAAGAATTGAGGGTCTCGATTTCCTAAAATTAAAAAATGAGGGGATCGATTTCTTATGTCAGTGGGTTCTGGTACCAGTAGGGGCTGATTACAAACTGTGTACAAAATGGGGTTGATAGGATGGCGCTTAAGGAGTCTGAAGGATGCCATGCCCGAGCGGATAAGCACATAAGCTGGAATGGAAGGTGCTGCGGGCTCGAACCCTCGTGTGCTCTCATTCTTGAATTTGTTTTCTATTTGCTGCCGCTTCAAACTAGATTGGGCTAGGAAATCCAGGGTACCCTCAAATCCCGAAACGTTTTTTCCCAGAAACATCTCGGATGTTGGGTTCTCGGTTAAGTTCTTAATGCGAGGGGCTTTCGCGGAGGCGTCGCGGAGGCGTCTCGTGATATTTGCGGGGTACGGGCCGAGGGTTCGCGCGGGGTACGTGCAGGGCCGCGGGCTACGGAGGGTATACGGGCTGGGTATGGGCGGGGTGGCCGGGCTGCGGAGGACGAGCGTTCACGGAGGGTACGCGCGAGGGGTGCGCGCCGGGTACAGGTACGGGCGGGGTCTTCGCCACCCAAATCCCTCAACCCTGAACCTCTCCCTTCGGTCTTGATGGCGCTCCGGGTTGTTTTTGGGCTCCAGGCCTGACTAACCTTGCTTTTTACTAAGAAAACGTGCGCATCAAAAACCAAAAAATCGAGCCCGCCCGCACGAAAAATTAACTGTTTCTTAACCGGCGCTGTCGCTGTACACTGTACCCTGCTCCATCCAAAAGAGGGGCGGTCGTGCTGGAGGCTGCGCTACTTTGGCTGGCGATGCGGCTTCGCCGTCTTGGGAGATTTGAATGGATCCGGCCATAGTGGTTCACATCGTGGTGCCTGGTCGTGGTCTCCTCGGCCTTATGCTTTGCGATCGGTGTACAGCTCCAACCAATGGAGATTGGTGGTGTCCGGCAAGGCATCTTAGGCATGGTTCCTTGTCATCGATGCGGGGGAGGGGTTCGCTTCGCTTGTCGCGTCGTGACCGTTGGTGGCGCAGCTTGTTTCTTATTTTGTTAAATTGGTACCGCTTGGCTCACGTGTGTAGCATCGCGGACGGATTCTTGAGGGAAGAGCTTGAACCTCTCATGCCCCAAACTGACCTTACCCTACGAGGGCACGGGGGCACGTCTCCGGAGAAGCAGGACATTGTTGATATTGTGTGAATGTATCGGAAGCAAAATCCTGCGATTGTTGTGGAGATGCCGATCACATTTTGCATAAATATCCGATTCTGTTCGTTCAATATCTCAACTCAGAACAGTCGGGACCTCACCCAGAAGCGGCAGAGGCAAGTGCGTACAAGTTTAGGGAATGCGAGGATCTAACATCATAACTTGGAGAACACGTTCTGCGAATCCAAAGGCCAGGTGATATCGCCAGGTTTCACGGTAGGGGCATGGCTCCTCGCTCCACTGCGTTTCAGTGTGGCCCCTCTTCCCTCCGGCCAGCTACATTTCGTCGTTTGCACAAAGGTTCAGACTTGCCAAGGCGTGAAGACTGGCGTGAAGCATCCTGAAGCGATGAAGTGCATAAAGTGCCCCCGAGCGGAACTGGGGTCTCTCCTTCTACGAGGCCATGCATCCATGCATCCCAGCTATGCTGACTGGACCGATGCAGCGGCAGGACTCATAAAATTACGAGATACAGTAGTGAAAACAAAATCTGCACCTTGTCCGCAAGCTGCAAGGGTACCTCAAAGGTGATGCTCTCCTGGCCGTGATACGAAACAAAAGCTGGTCTCTGAATGATTGCCGGTTCACTGTGGGGGGCTGTTTCTTGCGATGCCTCATCATTGCCAGCACCACCGATGGAGGCAGGGGCGCATCCCCCCGCCACTGCTCGGCCTCTCGTTCCAGGAATGCCTTTACTTTACGGCTTCATGGCCCATCACACGCTGGGGCGATAGCCTCCAGACAGAGCCACATGAACTCTGGCGGCTTGCGCCTGGGCTTGGGCCCCCAGCCATGTCAAAAATCGTGCAGACTACCCACTCAGTCGTGACCATGACGGAAAACCAGCAAGAAGTGAGTCGTTGGCTGCTGCAGCAGCCCGTGCGACGGAGGCTGACACCCCATCCTTCATACGCGTGTCAGTCTGCTGACCTAGAGATCTACCCGTTGCAGAAAGTCGTCCCTTGACAAAAGCAACACCCACGAATGAGGAACGCGAATCCAAGTACATGACATCCGAGGATCGAAGCAGCACTTGGCCGAGCCCGGGGCAGGAGTGGAGGTGGAGGTCGCAGAAACCGTGGGCCCTGATCCGAGGACCTGCGCTCTGCAGACCCTCACAGCTCTCTAAACCCCCTTTTTCGTTCGAGAGCGGCTTGCCATGGGGCCTGGGTTTTTTGAGTACTGTGCTTCTTGGTCTCATATGGAATTGCGCTATGCACACATGCATTTACACATGCTACTGTTCACAAATGTGTAACATTATGCAGTACGTATGTGCATGTGTATATATACGTGAATGCACAGGCATGTTATCATTACAGATACACATGCACGCAAGCATAAACTCAAAAGCCCGTACATGTATATGAAAGAATCATTTAAGTAGTTGCCTCATGTATCATTCCACCTTATTTTAACACTTTAACCTACCACGTTAACACCCGGTAATTTAAGGTGCAGAGCCGACTTGCCGTGTTCTGATTCCATGATGTCATGACTCGGTGGTGAAGGTCTGTGTGTTTGCGAGAATACTACGCAGTTGAGTCTGTATTGTAGTATTTCAGTTTGTCAGTACGACTTGCTTATGTGGCGTCTCAGGCGCAACCCCGATGACAATCGCAAAACTGTATATATTTCTGCCAGTAAGGGAACGCATATACTATA